TTGAACTTTTCGCCTGAATATATCGTATGAATTAGAAAGGAGAAAAGGTATCTACAAGTTGGTTGGGCTGGTACCCAAGCTGAAATCTGTAGAATATTCCATAATGAAAACATTTCACGCAGCACCATTTATCGATCATTGGAGGAGTGCGAGCAGGGCATACCATGCCAGAATCTCCCAAAAAGTGGAAGACAACGTGCACTTACTACACAGAGGTCAGAGATATTGGCGAGAAGAGCAAAAGAAGAGAAAAAAAGCAGGTTGTAATGTCAACAAGGAGACTAGCTCATCAATACAGATCTGCTGAGAGTAAGATATCGTTGAAATTGCGGGGGAATGGTCTTAAATACCGAAAGAGACTTAAGTGCTCCAAATAATCTTAAGCGCAACTCCTTCGTATACCAAGATTATGTCGTCAACGGAGGCATGTACACTTTGCCAATGGAAAAATCATCATTTTAGATGACAAAAAGTATTTCACTTTGAGTAATTCTGAAATGATGGGAAACGACGAATTTTGTACGGACAACGTAGAGGCATGCCCTAAAAATGATAGATACAAACATAGAGCAAAATTTGCAGATAAAATCCTTGTTTGGTGCGAAATTTCCAACAGGGGTGTATCCCATCCTTTTGTGGAAAGTGTGAGGGGTGCAGCATTGAATAGTCAGAGCTATATTGATAACTGCCTTTCCAAATTGCTTCAGTTTGTCCACGAACGGCATGCTAATGACCATATCATGCTTTGGCCAGACCTAGCATCATACCAAACTTGCGGCAGGCTCGCCCAATAGAATATTTTGACTCCACATAATTCGATAGTATAGTTTAGTTAAGTATTGAGTTGTAATTTATGATGATTAGTTAGTGTTTTGATAAATTTCTTTATTATTTTCGACACACCTATTATATTTCAAATATCATCGATATCCCCTAACACTTACTCTTTATAAGTAGATAGGTGCTGTTTCACTTGCGGCGAAACTTTATATGCAAGGTAACTATAATGCGAAGCTCAAAAAAGTTTTGGAAGACGATCCAATTCTGCAGAGGAAAGACAGATTCAGGGCGTACCCAGATATTTTATCTTGATGGCGTGTGATATTTTTGAATTACCCGTACTTAGGCGACTTCAACTCTGCCGTTTTAGCGCGTAATGAAAAATTATTGGTCCAAGAATACTATAATCAGGCTTCCCATTCAGTTTGTGTATTACCGTGCTATTACAACGGCTCCTCAGAGCAAAGTAGATTGCCAATTAGATTTGTATATACGAAAAAAACGTGACGTCAACAGAATTGAAAGCAGATCGATATATTGCTATTGTACCTATTTCCTTCTCGCGTGAGTGGGTAACGTCAAGCAGTAAGTTTACTGATTCAACAGTCGTTTCGAGAGCAGACTTTTTTATCCTGCTTTAAATAACTAACCAAAAAAGCAAAACCTTGAAGCAGTCCAAGGGGCGGGGTACTTACTGTATTACTAAATTATTCATAGTAATATCGGTCATGCTACTAATATAGATTCTGATTACCGGATACTTCTGACAATCATCTGTTTCCGCTGTTATAGATATGGATTCAGATACATTATGGACGTTTTTAGTAAAACATTTTGTTATTAGAAATAAGACAGTACAAAGTGCAATTTATAACCCGAATCGCCCACTGCGAGAGTGGTACTGTATCAAATTTCGCATTTTCAGATAACTCATCAGTGTGGTCACTAAAGATCCTGCCGATTCTGGTGCACGTGTACGAGCAGATTCAGCCTACTCGCCGTTGGATAAAATACTAGTAATATAGCTTTCGACCAGAGACGGCCAACCGTAAACAGCTGTTTTGTGCTATTTGGCAAGGTCTAGGCCTGTTGCCACATAGGACAACGAGCGAAAGCTATCCTCTATCCAGAGATGGCATTTTGTGCTGTCTTATTTCGATAAACTTTATACTTTTGATAAAGGATAGTTACTCAGTTTACGTTCGTTGTTTTTATCTGAGACCAAGGTTGGGCATGCTGAGGAGTTGCAGAATCGCAGGAAACAGTTGTCCATGGCTGGCCGTCTGTGTTCCTATGAACGACAGCTATAGCTACACAGCTCTACAGTGTGTCCGAGATTCGCTTTTCTTTACAGGGATCGCGGCTCCTCTTATTCCTATAGCAAAAATTTAAAGGAGAATGTTTTAGAGGAAACTTAGTTCATTCGATAGTCGGCTTCAGATTTACGATCGTTTAGTTGGTTTTGAAAATATCAGCGAAAAACCGAAAATAGCGGAATTCGTTTTTTGTCAGTAAATCCAAAACGGCTAAATTGGCAGCAGTCAAAATGGGACGTTATTTAAACATTTTATAAGAAAAATAAGATAGCATGTATGACATTTTTCAATCGTTTTTTTCTTCAGCAACCCGCCTTCAACTGTCATTTTTCTTATGGCCGCCATATTGGATTTTTTGTTTTTTGAGGAGCGTAAAATTTCCAATCTAGTGATGTCTCACAAATGCTTAAAACATTGGAGTATCTTCGAAATATCGTCACACGTAATGTTCTGTATTGTTTTTTTCTAAGGAAACCTTGATTTTATTTGTCAGAAAATGACATTAATGAGTGAGGTACAAAAAAACACACCTTGAATTTTCAATAAAATATTAGCTTTAATATCGACTTCTCATCAAGTCAAATGTATTGGGACAAATTTCCAACTATGAGTGTGTTAAAAAAACAAGTCGTGAATTTATTTTACACTTTAGCAAACATTTTACAAAACAGTAATGTAAAATCTAATTATGTAAGTGGGTATTAATTCTCAAGCTTGCAAAATAACGTCAATTTGCGTGCAGTCTTTTTGGCAACTGGTGACTGTTTTTCGTAAAACCTTAGCTAGTGTATTTCTGTTAATGTTTCTAACTGTGCCCAAACATTCTTTGTCTCAGGATTTATAAGATCGCGGGGAGATCAAATTCATAGACCTTATCCTTTGTGTGACCCCAGAGTTACAAATCCAAGGGTGAAAGGTCGGGCGATCTAGGAGGCCAAGATATTAAACCATTTAATGAAATTATTCTTCCATCAAACTGCTCTCTGAAGAAGCCCTTGACTTGAATGGTGTTGTGAGCTGGACATCCATCCTGTTGAAACGAGGTTCTACTAAACTCATCTTCGGTTAGACTAGCTCATAAAGCCGGTAGAGCCTGGTTTCGCAAAAGCTCTAGGTACCTCTGTTTCGTCATACAAAGATGGTCCTGTCGATTTCCTAAAACAATAATACCTAACTCTATGTAGGTGCCCAATTAAAAAAGGTGAGTTTTAAATTGAATTACCAATGACCCCACTCCAAACGTTAGTTCCAAATCTGGTCTGTAGGCGTCTCTCTGCCGCATCGTGGAGGTTTTCCACCGCCCAATGATGAGTGTTGTGTTTGTTACAAACTCCACAATTCGTAAACTTATTCTCATCGGATCTCAACACATGATTCACAAAATCGGGATTTTCATTAGACTTCCTAGTATACCACTCACAGAAGCGCATTCGACTTGGAAAATCAGTTTCCTTAAATCCTTGAACTATTGTAGGTTTGTTTGGATGGTATTTATTCTTATTTAACACTCTCTGTACCGTTGATTTTGACACACCAATTTCTCGTTCTTTAATTCTTACTGATGCACTAGGGATATCGTTGACAGCTTGTAAAATGTTTCTGTCACGATTCTCATTTTCAGTATTGTATCTAGGTTGCTCGGAGACCCCCATTTATTAGATTACCTACTGTTTTTCTAAATTGGGTTTTATGAGGCTGCCGTCGTTCGGGGTACATCTCCAAGTACCTTGCTGACGTAATGTCGGCGCTTCTGTGTGACTGCAAGTATAGCGCTAATATGTCAAACATTTCTTCATTTGAGTAGGGAATACCGGCCATTTTCAACAGCCTTTGACATGTTTTATTTCAGATTTATGATTTTAATGAGAACAAACGTATCTACTGTTTATTAAAATACAATTTTAATTCTTTGAATTATTTAACGTCAAAGATGAAAAATGCGTTACATATTAATTTTATTTTCTGACAATTAAATCAAGGCATCCTTGAAAAAAATTCTACCAACATTACGTGTGATAATATCTCGACGATACTTCAGCCTTTTTGCACTTGTGAGACATCACTAGGCTGAAAATCTTACGCTCTTTCCAAAAATCCAATATTGCTGCCATAAGCAAAATGAAAGTTGAGGCAGGTTGCGGGAAAACAAAAGACGATTGAGAAATTTCATACACGCTATCTGATTTGCCTTGAAAATAATTTCACATTTAGACAGCTGTCAAATTAACCGTTTCGGATTTACTGGTAAAAACAAAATTCGACGTTTTCGGTTTTTCGCTGATATTTTCCGCTAAAACTTTCCCCATTTAACCTTTGCTGTAGGTATAACAAGAGTCAAGGTCCCTTTTTAGAGAAGCGAACAAGGGACACACTGTATAGCTATAGACTATACATTGAGGAAAGAATTTATTTGAACCAACTGAAATTTTAATTGAGCCAATTAAAACATTTAATTAAGCATGTGTCAGCTAACTAGCTTAACCCAGTTAATTAATCTCCGATTTCTAAAGCGGCTTACTTGACTACTATGAAACTCATTTAATGAAAATAAACCGTTTAATTAAATCAAGCCGTTTACTTAGATTGGACACACCAATTCGTTTCGAATTGATCAACTAATAAAATAGGGTCAGCGGTTCCGAGGAAACAATTCCAATATATCTGTACCCGCGAGGTAAACAGTCGTAAGTCACTTTTACCCAATATGGAGTTAGTTCTATTACTAAACTACGCTCTCTCAACTTGCTATTGTGGCAAAAAATCGTAAGTCACGAATCACTGGTTGCCTATATTTTTAGTTTTGAAAACATAGTATGTCCATTTATGAACTAGATAAAGAAACGTATGTCCACATAAGGTTAGTTCTTATGTATTAGACACACAAACTGTCAAGCAGTAATCAATAGTAAGTCCACGTCAACGTGACGCGTATGCAGGCTTGTTGTTACATTGTTCCAATTAAAGATGGAAAGTGATAAAAGGAACGATGTTTTAAGAAAAATTGTTAGCCAGAGAGCATGTTTCATAATGGACCAAGTGAAAGTAGCAAATAATAGCGGCAAAGGTAAGCAATAGAATATTATAAAAGTGAGGTTATGCCTCAAGGCCGTTAAGTCAGATTTACCGTATTTAGCTGTTAAGCATATTGATAAAAGAATTTAAGGTAGTTATAACTTTCATTTCGATTACTGTGCTATTATCGAAGTAACTTATGAGCGCTTCCATGAGTGTAGTAAGATAAATCAATTTTTCATATATAAGGCTTATAGCTAACTTAGTAATCTTATAGTTCCAGATCAGCCGTCTACTTCGAGGTGTTGTCCTGTTGGACGTGTTGAAGATAGTGATGATAGTTACAAGGATCCAAACTACTGCCCAAGTAGCGACGCTAGTGACGATAAGGAAGAATTTCTAGATGAAAATTGCGCTATTGAGTCAGGAAGTGAAGAACAAGAGGTGCAGGTTGCACAGGAAGAAAGAAAACAAGAAGTTGAAGTTACACACAACAAAATAGAACTAGAAAAACTGAAATCAAGGAAGCGTACCAAACATCTAGAAACCTAGATTAGTACAAAAAGATCCAAAGCAACTTTAAGAGATGCAGAGCATATGACAAAATCAGGAAAAAAGATTGGTTCAAAGACAATGAAGTCAGGATGTGCACCGTGCAGAAAAAACTGTACCGAAAACATTCCTGATAGCATTAGACAACATATCTTTCATGAACACTGGAACGAGGAGAAGGACTGGGATATAAAAAGACAATTTATCTGTTCGCTTGTTGAGTCGACACCCATAGAACGTCGTAGACCTAGAGACAATAGTAAAAGTAGCAAAAAACATACTATAAAATACTTTTTTCAGATACAGCCCGAAAATGCTACTAAAAAAGTTCAAATATGTAAAACCTTTTTTTTAAATACTTTAGGTATCTCAGAAACAGTTGTGCGCAATGCCTTAAAGAAACAGACTGTTGGTGGCTTTGTTTCAAGAGATATGAGAGGAAGACATGCGCCGCCTAACAAACTACCTGAGGTAGTTCTTGATGGAGTCAGAGCACATATCAAATCCTTTCCATGATTCAAAAGCCATTATAATCGTGAACAAAGTAGCAGACAATATTTAGGCCCAGAATTAAACATAGAAAAGATGTACAAGCTATATTTAGCTAAATGTCAACAAGATCAAGTTCCCAAAGAACACATAGCTAAGCTTTGGATATACAGAAAGTATTTTGACACAGAATTTAAATTGGGCTTCAAAAAACCTTGAGCTGATACTTGTGATAAGTGTGACTGGTTTACTGTAAAACTAAAAAATTCTCAAGGAAATGAAATTCCACTTATCCAACAGGAATATGATGATCACCTAAAGGAAGCAGACATGAGATACAAAATTAAGAAGAATGATAAAGAGAAGAGCAGGCTTTTAAAAGACAGCACCAAGGTTATAATGCTAGATTTGCAAAAATGTCTTCCAACCCCATATCTCTCTAATGACCAAAGCTTTTATTATCTTAAGCTTTGGACCTTAAATTTGACAATATATGATTCAACAAACAATTTGTCCTATTGCTTGGCATGTGGTGAATCTGAGGCTGGGAGAGGAGGTAACGAAATCGCATCTGCATTGATCAAGTGGGCTGAAAGTACCATTCCTCATACTACCATAGAACATCTAATAATTTGATCGGACAACTGCCCCGGTCAGAATCGTAATATTGTTATGATGCTCACCTATCTATGGCTGTTGAAGATTTGTCCAAATTTAAAGACTGTTGAGCACAATTTCTTACTACGAGGTCACACACACATGGAGGTGAGTCACGTACATGCTGTGATTGAAAGATCATTAAAAAAGCAACCAAATATGGAAATTTGCACACCTTGGGACTGGCAGCAAATAATTAGATCAGCAGGTGCAACTGTCATAAAACTAAATCTTGCTGATTTCAAACATGTGGATTACTTGTACAGTCAACCTAAAGCCCCGTTTATTAATAGGAAAAAAATACTTAAAAAGAAGATTTTCCTATATCAAACGTTGTATATTTTCGAATTCAAGGTGATCATCCGAGCACAGTGTTTTACAAGCTAAAGTTTAGCGATGAAGAATTTAAAACTTTGAATGTTACAAGGTCCATGCGAAACCCAGTCCCATTGCCTGTAGAGTTAGTAGACCTGCGCAGTAGCTTAAAAGGAATAACAAAGAAAAAGCACGATTTTCTGATAAAAAGTTTACAGTGGGTTCCTGAGCAGTTCCATCATTTTTATAAAAATATCCCGGTTTGTAAGAAGGATGGCGAAGAAAGTTGCGAAGAGGAAGGCAATGATTAAATTTTTTGTTGGACTGAGCTTTTGATATGAAGTACAAACATGTTTTTCATTATTCAGTGCATTGCCATAGTGTTATAATTAAAAATTGGAAATAGTTTTCTGATATAAAGCTTTATTATTACTTAACACCTGTTTTTAGATACATGTAAAAAGCAGTAAGTCCAAAGTCAAAGTACAGGTAGATATTTATAAAATAATACAAATGGGTATTGAAAGAGCTCATATTGTTGACTCAAATACCAAAATAGCATATAACTACAGTTGTGGAACATTTATCAAATTTGAAACTGAGCCAGCATTTCTATCTGTTTTGCACATTTCTGGCCATTCTCTTTTATGGTACCATATTTTCCATTTTGATTATTATACATGGTATCAAGTCCGACGAATTTTGTCTGATTGTCCAGAAGCAGATAATAATGTATCTCCGTTCACTAGAAGCAATAAAACAATATTGCACTCACACACATTCAACGTATTTACATATACAGCATCGAAGACATATAGGTAACTTCAGCGCCATCTATGAGACACTAACCTTTTTAAAGTATATTATAGTAAGTAGATGAACAGATGTGACAAGTTCCCATAGATGATGCTTTGGTATCCCATTATCATCCCAGATATTCTTTGGACCCGCGAATGTACCATTACGGCTATATTCAGGTAGAATATATTAAATATAATGGAAATATAAAAAATCCCTTATTGTCTCGCATAATTCCACATAATCCGCCCTAACTCCCTATAAATCCTCGTAAAATTACCGAGTTTATAAAGTTCTCTGTCGAAAAAATCATGTTTTGTCTACAATGCCTGTGAACCCACGCCATTTCCTTGATTTCGTACCAGCGTCACTACTTCATAAACACATCCATATTAGGATTATGCGTCTTATAAACGTATAATATAACACGACATTGTCAATATAACTACCGCTGTTTTACTGGAATTTCCCATTAGAATCCCTCCATGCAGCCACAATACCGCGAGGAGAAAATTTCTCACCCGCGGAGTTTTTTCCATTCATCACGGATGAAACAAGCGGCAAAGATAAACTAGGAAAAATGCCGCGGTACCGGCATTGTTGTCAGCTGGCGGGTTGCTTTTCATCCAACACCTTAATACTTAAATTACTTTTATTATTATCTATTTCCTTCTTTCCGTAATAGGGCGAGCGAATACGTTTAAGCTTTTTGCGCCTGATGTTGACCTAAAACACGTATTCATGGAAAGGAACAAGAATGCTTGAATTTGGCTAGTACTCCAGGGAAATACTGAGAATATGCAGACCGCTCATAGTTGAAACTTTGGGTACAACCGCCTTCAAAAATCTTCTGTGGTGTATTTGCAACTATCAAAGTCAAAATTGTGGAAATTAACCATAGGAGAGGGATGGAAAACGAGAGGTAAACCCACTGGCTGTCCGGTGTATAAGCAATTGGCTGTAAATGGCTGCCCCGTAGCTGTCCGTGACTGCTTTAACTTATTTTTGGCTGTTCATTAATTAATATATTTGGCAACATCATGAACGTATGTGATGCCTGCGCCTGCGCCGCCGCCGAAACAACGAAACGTTAAATATGGTTCAAAATTCAAAAATGCACCGAACTTGTCTCACTCCCTAAAGGGGGGGGTAGCGTGTTTCCCATGTGAATACTGTTGTCTCATAAACTTTGACTTGTCCTTCCCTGGGAAAACATCGATCTACCCTCTCATCTATTAGTTTTAAGAGAATGACACACATTTTTTGCTTTCTAACACGTTTTAGGGCAAATATGTGCTGGCCTCCCCCTTTCATAACCCGTATGGAAAGCACTTTATTGCAGAATGTCTACCTTCAAATGTTTCAGTTTCTGGAAGTAAGCTTATTTGTAGATACATCTAAATAAATACAAAAGTATTAAGGCCATCCCATAATATGTCATAGAGAATTCATCCCGTGTAAATTTCCGATTGAACCTTAAAAGCCTGTTGACATTCATATTTTGTGAGGAAATATTCCTTTACATCGTCAAAGTTGAGTCAGAAGTAAATGCAGATACTTCCCAACTCAGTAATCCTATAACATTTGAAAAATATATAAATACAAAGTTAGGAGTATATAGAAAGAAAACATCAGGCAATTAAAATTAAATTTCTCGTTAAGAAATTTCATATACCTATAATATCAGTTATTTTTAATATCTTGACATATAAAAAAATCTCCTAATCTACTGGCATTTTCAAATAATCAAACATTATAAAGTTCATTTATTTACAACTTTGTTATTTCTAACTTATCTGCTAGGACCAACAGTCTTCAAAATATACAGTAGTTTCTGATTACAAAGATGTGGGCAAGTGAGACAGTATTTTTGGCTGTTCATGGCTGTTCACTTTGCTGTCTATGGCTGCATTTTGGCTGTCCGATGCTATTTTGGCGGCTTGGGGTAAAAGATTTTCCAACCGGTTTACGCCTCGAGAAATGTTAAATGACAACATCCAGTAATGAAATACGAAAGGCTTTCGCGGCCATTATCCAATGTCATTTGGTCGGTTTTTGGGTAGTTAGGCCGCCGTAAAATATTTTCTTTTGACGTTTCGCAAACACGAGTGGTTGGCATCTTCAGAAGGAGGTCACACTCCTGTGAGCTACATAAATGATAGATTCGTAAAAACGCATACTTTGATGTTGCCAATGTTCTTGAAACATCCAGTAACAAAATCCCAAAGCACTTCAGCAGGTTGCTTCAATGGATTGAAAACAATACATTTTTACCACTTCTTGATATATTCAGCTTCTCAATGTTTCGAAAACTATCGACTTCAGAAAAAAGCTCTAAGGTACTTTTTATGTCGTCATGAAGCCTAAAAACACTTTGATGGGACAGAATGAAACGGTTTTTGGAATTTGCTTGAGAATCTTTTGAATAATTTTTAAATCTGAAACATGCAGATTTGTTGAAAAAGATTTTGCAAAAAATCATATCAGAATATTCTTTCGACTATGTATGAAGATACTACCTGTAATGCAGTTCTAAGCCAAATTAAAGGGAATGTGAATGAAGACGACAAGCTTCAAAGACATTTTGCGGGGTCTCCTTCCTTGGTATTCAGCGGATCTCCACTTTTCTCAAGATATGAATATAAAATGTCAAGCTAGTAAATAACTGTTTGACATTTGGTGGCGACATCCAATCCTCACATACTGCTCTTCGCTTGGGATGTTAATGAGAAGTGTTTGGCTACTAAATGACTTCTTCACGTTTCGCGGGCACATCCAGTTCTCACTTATCTTCTGGACATCTCTCTGCTCAGTTCCCAGATATTTAACTGCGGCTTTCATCACCAACGAAAATTAT